TATGCCTTCCTCCTTATCTCCACCATGCTCAAGCCCGTAAAAAGGTGAGCAAGTTACAGAGCTTAGGGTAGGCTAGTCAGGCAAACCCAGAGGAATAGTATCAAGACTCTCGCTTCTTCCTGGAGTCTTCTGTGACCTCCGGGAACCAGCAGTGTAGGCTAGCAGTACAGCTTTGGAGACAAGTTGCCTTAAAAAGAAATGTATGACGTGTGCTTACCAGCTCCGTGACTCTCAGCACATCGCTTCAGCTTTCTAAATCTCTGAGCATCAGTTTCCTCATCTCCAATGCTGCACTAAAAGGCGTGTACAAGAATAGCATATCAAAGCACACTCTTTTAACAGAAAAAAAACGAAACCAAAACCAACACAAAAGAGCAACTATAAACAACCCAAATATCCAACAACAGAAAAGGAATCAATAACTAGTAATATATTTATAAAATGGAATACTACTCAGTAGTTAAATAATCCAATTAAATATGCACAGGCAATAGAGATGGAGTACATAAAAATTAATGCTATATCTAAAAAGAAATCCTAAAATTACAGAAGTGTTCCATTTATATAAATGGGGATGGGGAGTAAAGCAAAACAACATATATTATTTAGAGATCCCTAGAAAGGTGGGAAACTAAAGGGAAAAATCAAAGTAGTACAATTGAGACAAAATTAAGGAATATGCTTTTCAGGATGAAGTGATGAAGAAGCTATAGATAGCACTGAACAGTGAGGGTAGAACAGGGGACCCAAAAAATCTCACAGATGCTGGTACTGGTCTGTTTTCCTTAAAATTATGAGATGGGTGCATGAAGTCCCTGGGAGTTTCTGGACGGTATAGATCCCTCCAAATGATTGAGGATCAATGATGTCAGTTTGAAGACTAAGGTGTGCCTGGTTCAGACCATGGTCTTTCCAATCATTTGCTGTCTAAGTGGGAGCTGGATAATGAATAAAGATGGCAGAAGAAGAATTGACGGCTTTGAGCTGTGTTGCTGAAGAGCGCTGAACATTCCACGGACTGCCAAAAGAACAAATATGTCTTAGACAAAGTGCAACCAAAGTGCTCACTGGAGGCAAAGATGATAAAGCTTCGTCTCATGCACTTCAGGCATGTTGCTAGGAGAGGCTCTTCCGTGGAAAAGCAATGGGTCAGTGAAGGAAAGAAAGACCCTCAACCAGGTGGACTGACAAAGGACTCAAGTATTTAAAAAAAAAATTATGAAGATGGCACAGGATAGGACAGAGCTGAGATCTGTTGTTCATAGAGTCACTATGGGTCGTACTCGACTTGACGGCACCTAACAACAACTGCTTTTGTGGCTTAGTACAGAGACAGTCGTGCTGCTAACCCACAGACAGCACCTTTTTGATAGTTCAAATCCACCAGTCACTCTGAGGAGGAAAGATAGGAAATCTCTCTTGTGATTTACCGTCTCCAAAAAAACTGCTGGTCGGTGAACTATGAGTTGGCTTAGCCACTTGATGGTAATGGCAGTGAGAGCGAGCCTCCTAAACTCTGAGAATGTTCATTTATGTGCACTGAAGCTATTCATTTGCGGTATTTCTGTTATAAAATACCAGATAGCTAAAACAGATGGATACACAGATACTTTATTATGATTGACATTATTCTTCAAGCTGTGTATGCACATGAACACAAAATTGGAATAAAACACCAATGTTGTTGTTGTTGTTAAGTGCCATTGAGTCGTAGGCGACTCATAGTGACCCCTATGAACAAAAGTCCTCGACAGTTGCGTGTCTTTCATCCTTTCTCCATGTTCGTAGGGTTTCCCAAGGCAAGCTATTTACAGAAGTGGATGCCACTCCTGCTTCCAAAACACCAGTGTCTACTTTATTATTGTTGTTGTGTACTGTTGAGTCAACTACAACTCATAGGACCCTATGAACAATGGCTCTGAACCTTGCCCTATCCCGAACCAACCTCACTGTTGCTGTCACACCTGACCCCACTGCTACAGTCAACCCATCTCATCCAGAGCAATATTCTTCTGTGCTCTCTCTCTTTCCAAGGACTCTATCTCTCCAAGGACTGGTCCACCCTGACAACATGTCCAAAGTATGAGAATCAGAGTTTTACATTCTTTGCCTCCAAGAAGCAAAATGGTTTCACCCTGTCCAGTACAGACCAATTTGTTCTCTTGGCACTCCAGCCAATACTCTTCTCCAGCACCACAAAACAAAGGCATCAATTCTTCTGTCATCTTTAGTCATTGTCCAGCTCTTAGATGCATAGCAAGTGATTGAGAATCCCACAGCCTGAATCAGGCACACCTCAGTCTTCAAACTGACATTATTACTTCTCAGTAATTTAGAGAGGTCCCTGACTGTAGACATCCCCTGATCTCCTGACTGCTGGTGCCAAGAGGGTTGATTGTGGATCTGAACACAATGAAATTTTTTCTCCATCTATCATGGTATTGCCTATTAGGATGCTTGTATATGAAAAAGGCAGAAATAATGTATACAAAATGTAGGCACAGAGGAAGTATCAAGTTTTGAGTACTCTGGCTCTGGGGACATTAGTCCTCACCATCTACAATGTGAACTGGTAGTGATGAGGAGGCTCTGAGGAGGTGAGAGTGACACATAGAGAGGCCCTGGTAGGAGTGAGACCCCAGCAACCATGGTGGTGAAGAGATTGTGGAGAGACTGTGGCATTGCTGTGTAAAGACTGTCAAGGTATAACCTGAGACTTCTTGAATCTGTGCTGGCAATAGTTAAAGGTTTTGCTTGCCAGATGCTTGAAGGAGAAGCTGATTTATAACTGCTCTGAGGCAAACCTTGCTGGATGATTAAGGAAACCAGAGGCTTCTTGAATTTGTGTTGCTGAACTGAAACCAGGACTTTTACTAATTAAGGAATTGTGTTTTGCTGTTATTGTACCTTGAGACTGCTGGACTAAACCTGGCCTTGCATTGTGACTTTGTCTCTCCCACTCCCCAGCCTATTTCCCTAATAAACTCCATCTTGGAACCACAACTGTGAGTAAAGTTAGTAAGTAACAACACATATCTAATCCAGTGATTTGTGGAAATAGGTGCAGAAGCATGGGGGGGGGTGGCTTGTCTGATCTAGCAGGTATCTGGTGGGTGCTATGAAGATTATTGATGGAGAAAGTTCCCTTTTATGAAGCAGACAGAACTCTGATTCGGCCACCCCTCCAGTACATCGGCTCTTTTTACAACTGGATTGTAAGACAAACACTATAAAGCATCATGCTAGGGACATGATTGGTTGACCTGGGAACTTAAAATCATCCTTATAAAGGAATAGGTGCAGCCTCCAGTGGGTGGAAGCCCTGAATATAGAAAAGTGTTCTGTGGACATTTTACTGGTGAGTGGTGTTAAGGCATGTACCTTTGCCTGGCTTTCCCCTCCTAGTTACTGTGCATCTGCTGGTTCTATTTCAGCACTCCTTTCAGAAAACGTGAACCTGCTTCTGGGTATGGCCCCACCTGCCTCAACTGAGGATGGAACTGAAAATACCTGCTTCTGTCACTGTTCTGTCTCCATATGGAAAACAGGCTATCTGGAGATACCTGTCTTTATAAGTATGGACTTACCTGATTCACTCCCTGTGTATCTGGCTATGCCTTGCATCAGTCAGGGTGTACACGCGAAGTGTGCTCAGGACTGAATATATGTGACAGTACCTGTACTTGCATCACTGTATGATGTACTCCCTGCGTACAACTGGCTCTCTCTGTGCTTAGCTTATGCTAACTTTTCTAGTCTTCTCGTTCTCTGGGTCTGGAGGCACTAGGAAGGGGCCGAGTCGCAGAGGTCTGGCTCCTTTTGCATTCTCAGCTCTCCACCTCTGGGGTCCAAGCCTGGGCCAGCGCCTGCAGACCGTGGGGCGGGGCCGGGGCCGGGGCGGGGTTTGACGGGGCGGGGCCGGACGGGTCCCGAGGGGCGGGTCTTGGCTGGAGGGGGCGGAGCAGGAAGGGGCGGTGGCCGCTCCGCCCCCTCCCTCCCCAAGGCTCTTGGGACCAGCTCTCGCCTCCTTCTCTTGGCTTCCGCGTCACTGCCCTTAAAGCCACCTGCCCGTATAAAGGCACCGCCGGCCTGACTGTGGAACTCGGGCCCCATGGAGACGCCGCCGGCCGTAGCTGGCGCACGGCGGGGTGAGTGCGCGCGGTGGGGAGTGGGCGCGGGCCTCGGGTCTGGTCGGAGTGGGTGGAGGTGGGAGGGCTCTGGCCACGTCCGATCGGAGCGAGAGGGACGGAGGGCTGGTCCCCAGGCCCACAGATCCAGAAGACCTGGTCCAACTTAGCTCAAGTTGGGAGAACCCGGAGAGTGGAGCCAAGGTCCGGGTTGGGGTGCCGAGCGCGCGCGAGTCATGGGGTCGGCAAATCTCGGCGTCCCTGGCAGCCGGCGGCCAATCAGAGTTTCCCAGGAACTTTTCTCAACGGTGGGTCGCTCGGAAACTTCCTCGGCCCTGTCCTGGGACTCCGGCCCTGCTGGCCCCGTGCCTCCTGGGCCTGGACCGCGAGCGCTGGGCTGGTAGGCAGAGGCCATGGCCTCGGAGGGGAAGCCCCGGCTTCCGAGGCACTTCCAGCCCTAGATTTCCTTGTGACGGCCCCGCCCCGCAGCTGTAGGGGCGCGGCGAGGTCCTCTGAGACCTCCCGGGCCTTTAGGGTCCCCTGGATTGGCGTGGGAGTGGGTAGGAAGTGGAATCAATCTCCTCGAGTTCTAATCCTTAAACCACCAGTTAACAACTGCCTGATCAGGAGGAAGTTCTTAATGTCTCTCTGCTTCAGTTCCCACCTTCTTATGTTAGGAGGGATATTCCCTCGCTAGGAAAGCTTTTGAGAGCACTCAGTGAGATAAAACAGAAGATAGCTTTGCACAGTGCCTTATGTGGATGTTGCTTCATCAACTGGGTGGGGCTGGAACGGCCAGAGCAATGTTTCCCACCCCTGACCTTGTGGTTGTCCTGTAGGAGCTGTGACAGGTGACTGCCAGGAGGTTGAGCTATGAGTGCCCCCTGTGGAGAGAGGCCTGTCCAGGCAGCCAACCCCACCATGAGTTTGTGGGAGCCTGGGGACAGCCATAATTGGCAGGGCACCCCCAGGCTGGCCCAGGAGACAGCTGCTGAGGAAGCATCGGCTGCAGAGCTACAGATGAAAGTGGACTTCTTCAGGAAACTGGGCTACTCATCCTCTGAAATCCACAGTGTGCTGCAGAAGCTGGGAGTCCACGCAGACACCAACACAGTGCTGGGCGAGCTGGTGAAACACGGTTCTGCCACGGAGCGAGAGCGCCAGGCCTCCCCAGACCGCAGCCCTCAGCTGCCCCTGGTTCCCCGTGGCGGGGGCACCCCCAAGACTTCCACTGTGGAGTCTTCACCCCCTGAGGAGGCTAAGGAGGGCAGTGACCTGAGACCTGTGGTCATCGATGGGAGCAATGTGGCCATGAGGTACGCATCCAAGATTCGCTGTTAATGGCTAGAGTTGATGACTCTTGTCTCTAGCCCTGGGAGGAGTCTGACTTCTTCCCATGCTCTGGTCTAGAAGAAGGGAAAGCTTTACTTAATTTTCTTAACTTGAGGTGAATTTGAGAGAAATGTTGCCGGATGACACAGGCCCATAGGTGTGCACTGTGGGTAAGTGATGCAGCAAGGACTCGAACATCAGTCTTTTGGACTTCAGAGGTTACCTCATAGACTCTCACACTCACTTCCTCTTCCTTGATATAAAACAGTACAGTGGATTAGACGGTAAACACTAGTGTTAGACTCCGTGGGATTAACCCCAGCTCATTTGTATAGGAGCTGTGTGGCTATAAGAAGCCTTGGTGGCACAGTCAGTAAAGTATTAGACTACTGAGAGGTAGTGGTTCAAACCCATCAGCCCCTTCTTGAGAAAATGATGTGGCAGTCTCTTCCCATAAAGATGCTTTAAAAAACAAACTCCATCAGGTTTCTAAGGCTGTAAATCATAATGGGAGGAGATTACCCGTCTTTCACAAAGAGCAGCTGTGGATTTGAACTGCCACTCTTTTAAGTTGGCTGCATAATATGTTATGGCACTATGTCACCAGGCACCTTTGGAATTCTCTAGGACAGTTCCACACTGTCCTTTAGGGTTACTCTGAAGAGAAATCAACTCAGAGGTCAGTGATTTTGTGTGACTATAAACCATTCACTTCACCTTTCTGAGCTTTATTTTCTCAACTGTAAGATGGGGCTAACCGTGCTCCACACTCCCTCAAATGGTAGTTGTGGGGAGTGAATATGCAATCTGGTGAGTAGTTGGTGTTCAATAAATAAAAGTTATTATCATTTGGAGGATGGGACTTCTAGGACCTTATTGTCATCTCTGCAAAGGCCTTCATGGCTGTGACCAGGAGTAACCCCAACAAGGCTGGATCTGACTGGGGAGTGTGGGTGGTGACTCTGGCTTCAAGTGAGCTGTGACTCGGGTCCTCTGATTCAGCTGGAGCTGCCTGGACAGGACTAGGCTCTTCAAGCAGAGCCTGGTCTGGGCCTCAAGTTCCCATGGCCCCGTGACAGGGGGTGGGGTGGGGTAGGGGCAGAGGGTGCAGCCAGGAACCCAGCCTTTGCTCCAGGCCACGCCCTCTGGCCGCTTTCTCCCAGTTTCCGCCTCTCCTTGGAGGTGGATGAGTCAGGGCTGGGTGGATCACTCACAAAGAAAAGTTACTGTTGGTGTGTATCAGGAGACCCCAGGCTTGGGGATGAGGCAGGAGCTTCCAGGTTGGGCTGCCCGATTCAGCCATGAGGTCAGCCTCAGCTTTCCAGTAGTGTTTGGCTAGATTGCTTCTTGGAGGCAAGGATGGTGAAACTTTTCTCTCGTGTGCTTTGAGTGTTTCTAGGAAAGGCCATTCCTTGGAGAAGGACATCCTGTTTGGAAAGGTTGGGAAATAGCGAAGGAGAGAAAGACCCACAACCAGGTGGATTGATCTCGTGACTGCGGCAGTGTGTCAGAGGTGGTGAGGTTGGCATAGGATAGGCCAAGGTTCAAGTCAGTTGTTCAGGTCGCTAACACAACTCCCTAAACCTGGCCAGTCAGTTTTCCAACTGAATGTCAGCCTGACTCCGCTTACTCGCCCACCGCGCTTTTGTTCCTCCCCAGCCAGTCGGTCTGCCCATCTCTGTAATGGGCTGAGCCCAAGCTGACTGGTCTGTGTCCGGGGCAGCTGGTCCCAGTCCGTGCTTGATTGATGGGGGCCCCAGTAGCGTGTGGTTGAGCGAGGTGCAGGGTCGCTTGGGGTCTCTGGGGGCTGAGCGGGCTTGCCTGGGCGAACCGCCATGTGCCGTGTGTTTGTATCCAGGCAGGAGGGGGCGTGGCCTGGCGGGGGTGGGGCCTGGAGGCCGGCCCGCGGGGCTTTCTGCGCCGAGCCGCGGCGGGAGGGGAATTCCAGGCTCTCACTTCCTGTCTCTGCTGCGCGCTGCCCGCCCTGCTGCCCCTTCCCCCTGTGGGCCGGCCCGCCGGCCCCCACCCTATGCAAATACGGGGGAATTCACCTCTGTTTCCTTCTAAGGGAATTTTTCCCCACTCAGGGCCCCGCCCCAGCCTATCTTCCCACCTGTAGAGCGCAGCCATGCCCGCTGACCCTGGCTTCTTGGGTCTCGTGCCTGCGCACTCAGGTATCCCCGCAGGCTGGAGTCCTGACCTGGGGGGGGGGGGGCCTTGGACGGCAGTGATTGGCCTCCATTCAAGAGATAAGAACCCGTTCTCTACTTCTGCCAAGCTTGTGGATTTGCTGAGGGTGTTCCAGGGGCTGGAGCTGCTGAGGGAAGGCCAGTCCACAGCGGAGGTGTACGTGCCTGGAGGCAGTGCCTCAAGAAGCCTTGTTCTGTTAAGTCCCAGAGCACCAATACTGGCATAGAAAGGGGAACGTGGGTGTGCAGGCAGGTTATGGGCATGTGCCCGCTACATACATGAGACAGGAGTCACACCAGGGATGACCATACCCATAGGGAAAGGGACAAGCCGGCAGTGAGATGATGCCTTGTAGACACAAACCAGGAACATGACCTCACCTAGCAGGCCAGGAAAGGAGTCACTATACAGCCTCTTTGGGGTCCTGAAAGGGGAAGAGCAAGTGTTTACCAGGTGCATATTTCTGCTGTTCCTGGCCTATCCCTTCCTCTTTTCAAAGGCAAATTTGGGAGCTCTTTTCTCCCAAAATTAGGGGCTCTGATGGCACAGTGGTTAAGTGGTCAGTTTAAACCTATGACAAAACTGAGGCAGACCGCTCCCCCCAGGTTACAGGAACAGTTCCGCTCTGTCCCTAAGGTTGCTATGAATCCAAATTGACTTAATGGCAGCACGATGTTTAAGCATCATCGTTCATAGTGGTTATGAGCGGCTGGTCTGAATCTGCATCTCTGCTCTGTGGTTCCCCGTCGTGTGACCATGGCAACGAAATCACCCTCTCCGGACTACAGTGTTTCTCTGGAAAAAGGAGATGATAGAATAATACTTATAAAATCTACTCTCTGGTTTTATGCTTCCTCTCTCTCCAAAAAAGGAGAAGAGGTGATAGTATTGATAGTCCTCTCCCCACAGAGCTTAACACCTAGAACAGGATCTGGCTCCTTTACAACAGATCAAAAGCTCACCTGTTCCTGTGTCATCTTCCATGTTTCTGCTGTGCTTTTTAAGCCCATTGTTGGACTCACTGTGTCAGTCCATCTCGTTGAGAGTTTCTTCTCTTTCACTGACCCTCCACTGTTCCAAGCATGACATTTCCCAGCCCTTAGTTCATGCTCACTTTCATTGTAAGCAGGGTGTATGGCAGGGAGAACGAGCTAGAATTAAGTACTATCTTGTGGTTGGACTTTGTCTCTGAAAAGTTACTGAAACCTTCAGCCCCTAGAGCACTAGCTTCACCCTCAGGCAGCCTCTGTGCCCCCAACCAACTGCCCTTCTGCCTCAGTAACTTCTCTTGGGGCTCTGGCTGTTATCCCCAAAGCCACTCACAGGATGTGGTCGGCTGTGGACTTGCCTCTTTTGCGTAACATTTATTCTGTTTTATTTGCCAAATATGAGAGTCTGAGTTGCTCACTAAAGGAGCAGTGACTGGGTTGGGCCGCTGAGAAGGGACTCAAAGCCTCTCCCAAAGGCCCTTCCTTTCACCTGGAAGCCCGAAGGCCTGCTCTCCTTCCTTTTTTCAGCTCCTAGGGAATCTGTGCTACAGCTTCCATTTGCTGAATTGTCTTTGGTTCAAGCAATCAAGACAGTCTTCCCACAGATTCTGTTGTTGGCTGCCCTTTGAATGAAGTGGCAGATCCTGAGGCCCATTTTACAGATGAGAGAAACTGTGAGCCAGGAAAACCTAGGACCACCTAACGCTGTTCTGGATCCAACCAGATTTGGGGGAGGGGATGTTGTGGTCCTCAGTACAAGGCAGGGATAATTTGCCCACCTCTTTTGCTAGCAGAGTTCTCCAGCACCTCTCTACTGTCCTCTGTCCTTAGGTTACACCTTACACTAGGGGAGTGTACCCTGTTGGAGTAGGCATTTTGGGGAATTGGCGGTCTTGGGAGGAAAAACAATGTCCTTTCACTTTCAAGTTAAAAGGTTTTAAAGAAGTGTCTGCCCTCTGTCACTTCCTGACCCTCGTTTCAGGCCACCTCCCCTACATACATATACCCCCCACACACATACTTGTATACATACAACATATATACATGCATGCACTCACACTAACACACTTCATATCTACACACACTCACACCACCCCCACACATACTTCATAGCGACATACAAACATACATTCCATACTAACATATGCTCACACCACATACTTCGTATCTCATACTCCACACCCACATTCACACCACACACATACATTCATACCAGCATACGCTTATACTACACTCATATCTACACACACTCACACTTTGCACACGTACACTCCATAACCTGCTCATTCACAGACTCTATACACCATACACACATTCACCCCACACTCGCCCCCACCCAGTATCCCTCTACACACTCCTCACTAATACCCCTCTACACACACCCCAGGTCCCAGACCCTGGAGGTTTGTGTGATCCAACTTTAATCTGGAACAACCTGGTTTCTCTTAAATTAGTCAGACCAGGTACTTCCCCCGCCCCCGCCCGCAGCCTTGCTGGCAAGCAGGCCAGCAGCCGGCTGGTGGTGACTCAGAGGAGTCCTGGTGTGTATGTGTGTCCCCTGGTCCCAGCAGTGCCTGGGGCGGGGCATCAAGCAGAAGTCTTCCAGCTCCTTTCCCCACCCCCAGGTGTGTTGCAAGCTGCCTGAACCTCCCCCACGGTGGAGAGCAGGTGCTGCCAGATTCCTGGGTGTTTCCTCACTTTCAGGAGATGGAACCTCAGGGAAAGTCGCAGGCCTGGCCACCCCAGGCACTGTGGGAACCAGCTGGGGATCAGGACATGGAGTGGATCTGGGTCTCCCCAGTCAGGGAGCAATGGCTAAGTCCAGTCTCCATCAGAGAGGTCAGCCAAGGCAGGAGTGCTCCCTTTTCCCTCCTAGAGGCCTAGAGGGCAGGCTGGCCCTTTGGGGCTGACACTGTCCCTCCTCTGTTCCCCAGCCACGGGAATAAGGAAGTCTTCTCCTGCCGGGGCATCCTACTGGCTGTGAACTGGTTTCTGGAGCGTGGCCACACAGACATCACGGTGTTTGTGCCATCCTGGAGGAAGGAGCAGCCCCGGCCTGACGTACCCATCACTGGTGAGTGTTCCCGCTTCAGACAGATGGCTTTGCTGTCCCAGCATTCCCTTTTGGGGTGGGGGGACTCATCACTGCTAGAGTTCACACAGGGTCCAGCATCTCATCTCAGCTCTTGTCGACCTCATCCAGCCTGTAACAACAGCATTCACCAAGGGTATCTTGTCCAGCCTCTGCCTCCAGCCACTGGGCAGTCCCTCATCCTCTTGGCGGGTCCTCCTTCAGCTTCCCCAGTACAGAGGTGATGTGCGCTGTGGTGTTCTGTGCGGTCCAAGGCCTGGCTCTGTGGCCTTGGACCAGTTATGTAGCCTTGCTCTGAGCCACTTGCTACTCATGGAAAGCAGGGAGTGGGTGAGGACAGCGACTGCCACCTCCCCATGTGGAGTGAGGAGCACATGGGTGACATAGGAGAAGCACTTCTCGGAGTGCCCAGCATACAGTAAGTGCTCCATAAATGTGAGCTGTGAACATTGTTTTTAGAATGAACCTCCAAGTCTTGGGGGATAAAACATCGAGATCCAGGAACACTGTGGCTCGGGCCACAGTCTTCCAGAAAAGTGTCCTTCCCCAGATGTGGTCTAGGAGTATCTCCAGGCCAGGCAGAGACAGAGCCAAACACTTCAAGTTAGGGCTTCTCCGCAGACCCGGGGCAAGGCTAGCAGCAAAAGCCAAGGCCGCACTTAACCTGTACAGACCCTGTGGCCAGTAGGGGAAACGAGCCTAGCTGTGCCTATGGGAGCCTATGTGAACAGGTGCTGTGGGGTTGTCGCTGAGCTTTGTACCCCTGCTGTGTGAGGGTGCATCCATGCCTCTGCAGACTAGCTCCTGCCCCAGTAAACTTGGGATCAGCAGCCCCCAACTCCTGGCCCCCCTGAGGGGTTGGGAGGCCTGAAGGCCTAGCTCTGGGCAGGGCACTGACTCTGTATTCTCCACAGACCAGTACATTCTGCGGGACCTGGAGAAGAAGAAGATCCTGGTGTTCACACCATCACGGCGCGTGGGCGGCAAGCGGGTGGTTTGCTATGATGACCGTTTTATTGTGAAGCTGGCCTACGAATCCGACGGGGTTGTGGTCTCCAATGACACGTACAGGGACCTCCAGGGGGAACGGCAGGAGTGGAGGCGCTTCATCGAGGAGCGGCTGCTTATGTATTCCTTTGTCAATGACAAGTATGCATCTCCCTGCATCTTCAGGAGTGAGGGCGGACCCCCACCAGCTTAAGAGGATCCAGGGTGGGACCAGGTGGGGCAGCCTCAATTGCTTTCTGGAGCAGGGGCCAGTAAAGACTACATAAGCTGTAGATTCAGATCCTTAGGTTATCAGTCTCCCAGCTACATTGGAGTTGAAAGTAGGAATATTCCCCGAAAGCACACAGCTCGAATCCACCAGATGCTTCACTGGAGAAAGAGGAGCAATATTCTCCTCCACTTCCTTAGGGGGAACCCCATTGGAGCTAAGAACAGCCCCAGGGGCATCCTGCTTGGCAGACACCAGTCCCCCAATTTCCTCTTCATGTGAAGAACTCTTTTGTCCCTCTGCAGGTTTATGCCCCCTGATGACCCCCTGGGCCGCCACGGGCCCAGCCTGGATAACTTCCTGCGTAAGAAACCACTTTCCTCCGAGCAGAGGAAGCAGCCATGCCCCTATGGTGAGAGACCCAGCTACCCTTTCCATGGCCCTCATCACCTTTCCTCTCCTCTCCCACCCATCTGTCAGCACTCCATGTTCTTCTTCAAGAGCACCATGTCATTCTTCTTCCAGGGAGGAAATGCACCTATGGAATCAAGTGCCGATTCTTCCACCCTGAGCGGCCAAGCTGCCCCCAGCGGTCAGTGGCTGATGAGCTCCGCGCCAATGCCCGTCTCTCACCTCCTAGGGGCCCTGGCAAGGCCAAGGGTAGCCGACAACCCTCGCCTGGCTCACTGTCCAGCTCACTGCCCACAGAGAGTGAGCAGTGCAGCCAAGACAGAAAGAAATTGGGGTCCCAGACATCTGCCGGGCCCCACCAAGAGGGCCTAGCTAAGACTTTTGCCCCAGCAGGCAGGAGCCTCCCAGCCAGTGGGGGCAGTAGTGGCAGCTTCGGGCCCACAGACTGGTTCCCCCAGACCCTAGATTCCCTGCCCTACACTTCCCAGGATTGCCTGGACTCGGGCATTGGCTCCCTGGAGAGCCAGATGTCAGAACTGTGGAGCGTCCGTGGAGGGGGCCCTGGGGAGCTGGGCCCCCCTCGGCGCCCATACACTGGTTATGTCCCCTATGGATCTGAGCTCCCAGCCACTCCGGCCTTCCCTGCCTTTGGACAGGCTGTCGGTGCTGGCCACTTCAGTGTGCCAAGTGACTATGCACCCCTGCCATCTGCCTACCCACCTCGGGAGTACTGGTCTGAGCCGTACCAGCTGCCCCCACCCACCCCAGTCCTACAGGAGCCCCAGGTGCAAGGTCCGAGGGCTGATGGGAGTCCATGGGCTGGGACTGGCAACCTTGCCAAGGAGCGGGCCAGTGTGTACACCAAGCTGTGTGGCGTCTTCCCCCCACAACTTGTGGAGGCAGTGATGGGGCGCTTCCCGCAGCTCCTGGACCCCCAGCAGCTCGCGGCCAAGATTCTGTCCTACAAATCCCAGCACCTTAGTGGGTAAGCTGGCCTGCCAGCACCCAGGGCAGTAGCTCCAGCTCCAGGACTGCTCACTCGGCTGGGCTGGGGTGACCCCCACGCTTGCACTGGAGGCTAGACAGGGGAGGGCTAGAGCAGGGAAGAGAACCCACAAACCAAAGATACTGTAGGATTGATTCTGGCCCCCGCAGCACCTCTTGCTGTCCCCCTCGGTGGGTCAGAAGCGATCACCCTGTTGATACACATTGTATCTCTCTAGTTTAAGGAGACGCTGCCGGTAACGGCTGTCAGTCTGTGGCTGAGGCCCAAACCCTTTTCCTCGGAGGGCGGGAAGGAGGCAGGGGAGCAGAGGCCTCCGCCCCGTCCCCGGGATGCTGGCCTTGGCCGGCTAGTTGGGCACCATGTGCCTGCCCTGCAAGGGCCCCTCCTCTAAGCCCATGAGGCCTCGCTGTGCTCACTGGGCACAAGGCTTCATGTTAGTAAGCAAAATGCTTCTTAATACTCATCCCTGCCCCACTCTGTCTACTCCCACTGCCCCTGCTGGGGGTGATAGGCTTTGGTGGGCACCCCCTCCTTCAACCTCTTTCTCCATACTCAGTCACCTCAGCCTTCCCCCCAGGTTGGGGAATGTGTGTGTATGTACAGGTATAAAGGGTAAATATCTTGAGTGGAAAAAGTCCTAATCCTAACCCTCCCCAGCACATCAATAAAGTAAAACATAAGCCCTTTTGAGAAGTGATCTACCTTTGTTGTGTTAGGGGACCGAGCTGGTCCAGGTGTGTACCGCAACCTGCCTTCAGCCCAAACCAACTCTTGAAACTTCTCTCCAAGTCTCTGAGGTTTACCAGGAATGTTGGCTCTTTGAGGCAGAGCCATCTTTGCTGAGGTATCAGGCTGGGCCTCAATACTTGAGGATGTGGCCATTCAAGAGGGGGCACATGGGTGAGTGCGGAGGAGCAGAATTTAGGAAGCAGAAGTGAAGTGGGCTTGGGGTCCTGTGGGTGGAGCCAGAGTGGGGTCTATTTTATGAACTATGACTAGAGCTTCAGACTGGAAGCTGGCTGGAGAGAGGAGGGAGAGATGGTCACTGAGAACAGTGTATTGGGTGGAATGTGTGTGGGAGGCCATTGACTGCAGCTCTTGGCCAGTCTTCCCAGATGTTACCTCACTCTAGACCTAGGCCCACAGACCAGCGGAGGAGGCAGGGACACTGCTGTGAAAGAGGTCAGGACCATGAGCTCAAATTCAGGAACTGGCTCTGCCATTGATTAGCACCTGGGGAAATGATGACCCCTTTCTGGGTCTCACCTATAAGATGGTGATAATCATGGTGCCTGCTTCACAGAGTTGGATGCATAGGTGTGGAAAGTATCTTAAGAGGTGCTGGTGTTGCTCCTCCACCTTCTCATCCCCCAAGGAAAGGACATACAAAAGTGAGCATTATGAAGATCTGGGCTGTCAGATGACCCCATAGTTTTATCAGCAGGAGGAAATGAAAAAAAAAAAAAGGTGAATTTGATCTCTGAACATCTCACCTCATTTATACTTCTCATCTGTGGAACTTCAGATGTATCCCAAAGTTAGACAATAAGGAAGAATCAATGCCTTAGAACTGTGTTGAAGAGTACTGACTAGCCCGTGAACTACCCAAAGAATAAACCTGCTTTGGAGGAAGTGCCACCAGGGTGCTTCTTAGAGGCAAAGATGGGGAAATTTCCTATCACATACTTCCAACATGATGTCAGGAAGGGCCGGTCCTTAGAAAAGGACATGTTGGGAAAGGTGGAAGATCAGAGAACAAGACCTTCAAGGAGATGGAATGACACAGTGACTAACAATGGGCTCAATGATGGTACAGAACAGGACAAGGTTCAGAGCTGTTCACTGATGAGTCAACTGGACAGCTCCTGACAGCACTAACAAACTGATGGCATTAACTTAGGGTGGTCTGATGGTGGAGTTGCGCTAATCCACCAGGGGCTCCTCAAGAGACAATAGGGCAATCTTCCACATTATTTACAGCTTTCTGAAAACCTACTGATGGGTCAGGACAATGCTGTTTCAACTTGATGAAAAGGAAAAAAGATGACACAGGCCCAGCACACCAAGTATCCACCTTGTTCTTGACTCTCAACATTCTGTAGAAGCCTACAACTGCAGCAGGGGTTCATATAGAGAAGCTGGAAAGCAAAGCTTCCTCTGCTCCCCTCCCCAAAAAGGTACTCTTCAAAGTGCTGAGCCTCAGATTTGGTGTGCCCACAGAAATGTTACCTTAATTGTAATTACTCCCCCCCCACATTAATAACGATGTTCCAGATTAAAAGGATTCTGTGGGCCTTTGTTTGCTTAATGGGACAGGAAATAAAATACTGGACTGTCCAGTTCATTACTAGAGTCTGGCAGTACTAAGTAACTTGCCCAAGGTCCCTTGGAAGGGACAGACTAGGACAGGGCCTCCGGGCTGGTTCCCTGGCTCCAGATATGAGGAGGAGAGACACTAGTCTCTGGCCCCTGCATGAGATGAGAAGGTAGAGGTGCACCATGTTCATGTGGGCAGCTCTCAGTAAAAGGACTTGGAAACTCACACTTGATCCTTAACTAGAGCTGAACTCTTGGTCATTTGCTTGTGCTGGGGGCTTACGAGCAGGTGGTGAGTGGGACACAGGTCAGGCTGGCCGTGGCTAATATCAGGAGGATGTGACTATGCTGCTGGTCCCAGGCAGGCACTAGTCGGGTGGAGTCCATTCAGCCCATCGACCCAAGCATATGCAGCACTTTCCTGGCAGACCCAGACGTCCAGGGTTTGGAACCTCCCCTCAGGCTTCTTTCTCAATCTGGCTTCCAGGCAGCTACTTGGAGGCTGCCAGAGCCACTGCCTACGCTGTTTCTTTCTCATGGTTGGAGTCCCTCCCCCTACTGTGCCCAAGTGGTATGAAGCTGCACTGCAATGGAAGGCACATGGTTCAACTCCATCAGCTGCTCTGCTGAAGGAGGATAGACAGTCTCCTCCTGTGCAATTAACTGCCTCTAAAAACTTGCCGGAGTCAGCTATGGATTGGTTCTGACTCGACGGTACTCAACAACTCTGCCCAAGAAGCTCTGGTGGGTGGCACAGTGCTAAGCTACACTGCAATCCCAAAAGTATGTTCGAATCTACCAGGTGCTCTGTGGAAGCAGCTTGGGCAATCTCCTGTGTACTGCCTGTGAAGACCCACTGGAGGGTCAGCTATGGGTGGGTCCCGACTTGACAGCACACAACTACTTTATCCACAGAAGCAGCTTAGACTAGTGACAGTCCCTGTCAGGGCCTCACCACCCCACCTGTAAAGTGGAAACAGTGACCTCTGCCTCCATCTCGACAAGCTATCTCCATTCACATGTGGCAGCAGAGGAGGCAGCGAGGACTCCAGTGTCCCTCTAAGCTATAGTGTGAGCCAACCCCACCAGCTCCAGAGCCACAGCCCCCTCACAGCTGGCAGGATTGTAGTCAGACTCTGGGGTTGTGTGTGCACAAGGTGGGGATGGCAAAGCCAATATGATTCCCGACACGGAAGCTCAAAGCACTGAGGCGCTGGACGGGTCAAACTCCGCTGGCTGCCCAGCTGCCCTTTCCTGCTACATTTTCCTGGTTCCTGCAGCTGAGAAACTGCTGGGGAAACCACTGGGTATGCAAATTCCAGCATTGGGAAATGATCCTGGGTGCTCACAAAGGCAGCCTCATGACGCCCTGTCCCCCACGACCACAGGTCTTGCACATCTTGCCTCCCACACAGTTAACCCCTAGTTAACCAGGAAGACTGTGACCCCTCTATCCTCAGGAACCTTAGGCTTCCCAGGCAGATAGCCCACACTGGATGAAATTCTCTGCCCTGCTGTCCCAAAGGAACTGAGGGCCCAAAAGCTAAAACAGGAGAGCTTTGGAGCTGCAGGGTGAGGCTCTCCCTAGCTTATCTGGGGCTGCTGATGGTCTCCAGGGTCAGAGGAAGAGCAGTGTTCAGGATGAGGCCACCACTTGCCTCAGCTGCCATTTCCTCCCTCCTACCAGCAAAGCTCTCTGCTGCCCCTCCTTCTTCATGTCTCCCAGAAAAGCCCAGAGGAGCCCTGGTGGTGCGGAATTTAAGTGATTATGGATGGTGGTTGCCACCTACCCACTGGGAGCTGAGAATCTACCTGAACCTACCTGATGGGAAAACCACTGAGCGTGCAAGCTCCAGCGCAGACTCTGAGGGAGAAAGTCCTGGGTTTCTGCTCCCATAAAGATTTGGCAGTTCTCCGCCACAAAGGGTCACCATGAAATTGAAATCAACTCTATGGTACCTAACACAGACTACCTAGAACTTAGCTAGGAAGACCCCTGACCTGGGGCAGACCTCTACCACAGAAAGTTAGCAATGGATAAGATGGAATTTAGTGAGACAAACAGCTTAGACACTGGGCAGGTGAGGAGTGTCATCTGCCTCAGTCCTTGGTCTTTCTGGGTCCCCAGGGCCTCCTGCCACCAAAGACAGCCCAAGGGCACAACACTCTTACCCCAGTTCTCAAACCTCAGGCTGGCTTTCTGCCAGAATGGGTGGAGCAGAGAGTGGTGAGTAAGAGCCTGTTCTGGGGACCTCCTAGTTCACGGGAAGGGTGTGGGAGGGAGATTTGGCTGAAAGAGGCAGGAAGTAGGGCCCTACAATTATGGAAACCCAAGCCATCCCAGGCCAAGGCATGTAAATCCTTCTGGCTAGTTCCTGGAGGGGGAGGAGGCCTCAGGCTGTCACCCTGGGGTATGTCTTCTTGAAGCTCCTCTCCAGCAATTGCTCACTCATTTAAAAATGGCTGCAAAACTAAGTGGAAGGATCAGGCAGCTCACCTCACCCCACTCCACACAGAGTTGGACATGTTGCTGAAGTCAGGTCACTGGGAATGGCCCAAAGGCTCTGGTTCTGGCCCCTCTCCAGAAAAGGATCTCGCAGAAGGCCAGCTGCTGATGGCCTGGCTGCCACCTGTCGGCAGCTGCTGGTACTACTGCCTGTGGAGCAG